TATGGCCAGAGATGGTGAGCATCTTTTCATGTGTTTTTGGCCATTTGAATTTCTTCTTTTGAAAAAGTTCTGTTTGGTTCAGTTGCCCATTTCTTAATTCGTTCATTGATTTTAGGAGAGTTTAGTTTCTTAAGTTCCCTGTATATTCTGGTTATCAGTCCCTTGTCTGATGTATAACTGGCAAATATTTTTTCCCACTCTGTGGGTGGTCTTTTCAGTTTAGAGACCATTTATTTTGTTGGGCAGAAGCCTTTTAATTTTATGAAGTCCCATTTATTTATCCTTTCTCTTAGTTGGTGGGCTGCTGGGGTAATATTGAGGAAGTCTTTGCCTATACCTGTTTGTTCCAGAGTGTTTCCTGCTCCTTCCTGTACTAACTTCAGAGTTTCAGGTCTGATATTTAGGTCCTTGATCCATTTTGAGTTGATACTAGTATAGGGTGATAGACATGAATCTAGTTTCAGTTTCTTGCAGACGGGTAGCCACTTTTCCCAGCAACATTTGTTGCAGAGGCTTTCTTTTCTCCATTGTATATTTTTGGCACCTTTGTCAAAAATGAGGTGGGTATAGTTGTGTGGACTCGGATATGTCCGGGTCCTCTGTTCCGTTCCACTGGTCTTCATGTCTGTTTTTGTGCCAGTACCATGCTGTTTTTATTGCTATTGCTTTGTGATATAGTTTGAAGTCAGGTATTGTGATACCTCCAGCATTGCTCTTTTTGCTGAGTATTACCTTGGCTATTCACGGTCTCTTGTGTTTCCAAATGAACTTAGGGTAGATTTTTCAATCTTTGTGATGAAAGTCATTGGGATTTTGATTGGAATTGCATTAAACATGTAGATTGCTTTCGGTAGTATAGCTATTTTTACAATGTTGATTCTTCCGATCCATGAGCATGGGAGAATGACGTCATTTCTAAATGAGGATAAAAACAGTATTTATATTATAAGAGCCTTGTAAGGGCGAAGTCAAATAACATTTATAAAGTGTTCTGTGAAGTACTACACATTTATTAAGAAGTCAATACATTTTCTGATAGCCTATAAAATGAGAGTCAATGGTAACAGGCTAAGTCCATTTATTCATTCCCTAAATGTTTACTGAGGTTCTTCGGTGTTTGAGGTGCTGAGCTGAAAGCTTAGATGAACCAGACAGGTGCGAGCTTCTATTAAGTTTCTGTTCCAGCAAGAGGAGATAGATGTGGAATCTTAATTGTAGATTGCAGTTGTTGGAAGAAATTACAAAGAAAAAGCAGAGGGCACTTAAAAAACAAAACTCACAGATGTGGAGACTTGACTGTGTGCCAGGATTGGTAAGGGCTAACAGAGGAAGTGGCATGTGAGTTGAGACCTGATGGATGAGGAAGAATTGCCTGGTAAAGACCTAGGACTTAGGACAGGGCATTTACGTATCTGAACGAAGCCTTCAAGGAGGGACCTGTTAAGTAAAGGGAGAAAGGGACAAAACGAGGCTCTCACGCCCCCACCCCGCCGCCCGCCGCCCCCCCGCCTTCCGGCCCCGCGCCCACCCAGGTCCTTCCGCCCCCCTGCCACCCTCCGCCCCCACCGCTCCCCCGCCCCCGTCCCGCCCCCCGCCTCGCCCTCCGCCCCCCCGCGCCTCCCCCCTCCACGACTACCCCGCCCCTCCCACCCTCGCCCCCTCCTTCGCCCCCCACCCCTTCCGCCCCCCCCCCTCGCCCTCTCTCCGGCCTCTCCCCCCCCCCGCACCCCGCCGCCCGCATCCCCCTCGCCACAGCACCCGCCTTCCGCCCCCGCCCCGCCCACCCCTCCGCCGCCCCCCACCCCTCCCAGCCTCTTCCCGCCGCCTCCCGCCTCTCCTGGAGAGGTGGCAGGGCCCTGATGGTGTTGCTCCTTGGGAGCTGTGGTTGGAAGTTTGGAATTTATTCTGGATGCAATGGCAATCCACTGAAGGTTTTTTTTTTTTTTTTCAGTACTGGGGTTTGAACTCAGGGCCTACACCTTGAGTCACTCCACCAGACCTTTTTTTGTGATGGGTTTTTTTGAGATAGGGTCTAGTGAACTTTTGCCTGGGCTGGCTTTGAACTGTGATCCTCCTGATCTCTGCCTCCTGAGTAGCTAGGATTACAAGAATGAGCCACCAGTGCCCTGCTAGTTTTAAGCATGGAAGTAACAAGATCTGACTTATGCTTTAGAAGGATTGACCTGGTTGCTGGATGGAGGATGGAACTATAAAGGGATAAGAAAGGGGGCGAGGAGACCAATCAGGAAACAGTAGGATTAGCTGTCCAAGCTGGATGATGCTGGCTTAGACTGGAGTAGTAAGGGACATTTGTGCATAGTAAGGTGAGAAGGGGACAGGATCCAGGTATATTCTAGAGGGAGAGCTGATGGAAGGTACTTATGGATTAGATAAGACTAGATTTGGGTGTGTGTAAATGAGTGGATGGGTAGAAGTTTTGGCCAAAGGTGGACTGAAGAGTAACTCAATGAGGAAGAATTTGGGAGGGATCCATTTGCTGGGTGGGGGTTATCACTGGTGGTCAAGTTCTTTTTTTGTGGTGCTGGGTTTTGAACTCATGGCCTATACCTTGAGTCCTTCCACCAGCCCTTTTTTGTGAAGGGTTTTTTCAAGATAGGGTCTTGTGCTGGCTTTGAACTGTGATTCTCGTGATTGCTTGTCTTCTGAGTAGCTAGGATTACAGGTGTGAAGCCACTGTTGCCAGGCGGTTAAGTTCTTTTTAACATTAATTCTTTAATGTAATCAAATATATCTAGTCAGAGTTCAGAGTCAAGTTGTTTCAGAGATAACTTTTTATCGTGGTAAAATATACACAGCATAAAATTTACCATCTTAACCATTTCTAAGTGTACACTTCAGTTGCAGTAAGTGTACATTAACGTGTTATGCAATAACTGTCACCACTGGGCATCTCTAGCACGTGAGTTTCAAGAAATGTCAGACATCCAAGTCGAGTTGTCTAGGGGGTAATGAGATAGATGATTGGAGCTCAGGGGAGTCCTGGCCAGAGATACGATGACATCGCTTAAGGGGAGAATGTAGGTAGAGAAGAGAGAGCAGAGGGTAGGCCTCCAAAATTTACAAGTCTGGGCAGCATAGGATTCTGAGAAAGTGTTAGTAAGGTGAGAAGAAAACTAGGTAAGTGTGGGACATAGAAGCTCAGGGTGCCATAACAAAATGCCATAGACAGGGTGACTTCAACACCAGAATTTTATTTTCCCATGTTTTTGGAAGCTAGAAGTCCATGTCACAGTGTTAACAGGTTTGGTTTCTACTCGTGCCTCTCTTCTTTGCAGGTGGCTAAGAATGTCCCATATGTCCGTACATGGCCTTTTGTCTGTGCAAATCCCTAGTGTCTCTTCCTTTTCTTATAAGAACACCAGTACTATTGAATTAGGGCCCCACCCATAGAAAATCATTTCATCTTTCTTGTTTGTTTTGAGGCAGGATTTTGCTATGCAGCACAGGATGGCCTCATTTTTCCATCTGCCTGCCCCTCACCCTCCCCATTGCTGGGATACTGGCATGCAGCACCATGCCCAACTGACTTTTTTTTTTTTCCAGCAGTACTGGGGTTTGAACTCAGGGCCTCATGCTTACTAGATGGGTGCTCTACCACTTGAGCCACTCTGCCAGCCCCTAACTGATCTTAATTATGTTTTAAAGGCCCTGTCTCCAAATACAGTCACGTTGACCATCAGAGCTTCAACATGTGAGTTTTAGGGGAACACAATTCAGTCTGTAACAGAAGTCTAAAGGGGAAAAAATGTTTCCAGAAAGAAGGAGCCAACTGTCAAATGCAACTGAGAAGTTGAATAACATAATACTACTTTCATTGGCATTGGCATTGGCAATATGTACCATTGCAAATTTACCTAAGCCTTTTAAGCCAAAGACTAATTTGAGTTAATTGAAGAGAGATAGAAAGTGAGGAAATAAAGAAATAAGTGCAGCAATCTTCTCAAGTCTTGCTATGAGTGAGAGCTGAAAATTGTTGTGGTAGCAGGAGAAAGTGGGGTCATGGAATAGTAAAAAAAATAAGTGAAATAGCTGGGCACCAGTGGCTCATGCCTGTAATCCTAGCTACTTGGGAGGCTGAAATTGGGAGGATCATGGTTTGATGTCAGCTTGGGCAAATAGTTCATGAGACCCCCCATCTCCAAAATAACCAGAGAAAAATGGACTGGAGGTGGGCTCAAGAGGTACAATGCCTGCTTTGCAAGAATGAAGTCCTGAGTTCAAACTCCAGTCCCACCAAAATCAAAATAACATTGAAACATGTTTGTAAATTGAAGTGAATGATATAGAAGAAAGAAGTGTGAGGGAGGAGCCAAAAATGTTACTTATGGGGGTGAATTCCTGCAAAGACTAAGATGAGATTCATTGCACAAGTAGTGGAGTTGGCCTTAGATGGCTGAGACCTGACCCCCAAATTAACTGGAGTAGAGATCATTACAGCACTTGTTACATAATTTGTGGGTACCAATGTAAAATGAATCTGTGGAGCTCTTTATTTAAAAAATTAAGAATTTCAAGACTGCAACAGAAGAGTATTAAAGTACAGTTTGTATGCAACTACAGTTTGTATGCCCATGAAACCTGGTTGAGTGTGTGATGACAATGATGGAGGTAGGCTGTCTTTTGGGTAAGTGCCACCTTCTTTGTGCTTCACACAGGATTAGAAGAAATGACTAAAAATACTTTCAGTACAAGCTGGGAAGTCATTAGTAAAGCAAAGCTTGTGCCTTTTTTGACTTCCAACCTTGTCAGAGTTCAGTCCAGGGCTTTCTAGAAGGCTCCAAAGCATCTGGTGACCATAGCAACTCAAGCCAAACTCCCGGGTTCTCGGCTCCGCCCACCGCTTCATTGACGCGCTTGCTGATTGGCTTAGCAAGATGACCAATGGTCGGTGAAGCGGGCTGTTTGCCGCGCAGTCAATGGCCGCTGGCCGGGAGGGAGGCGGGAAGAGGGAGCGCCAGGGCTGGGTAGCAGGGCGTGTGCGTGTTTCCGGTTCCGCTGCGGAAGGCTGCCGAGAGAAGCCGTTGGGCCGGACGCGACCCGGAGAAGCGGGGAGAGCGCGGGACGCGAGTGTGGAGCTCGGCGCGTAGATCCACCAGCGAGATGGGCGGGGAGCAGGAGGAAGAGCGGTTCGACGGCATGTTGCTGGCCATGGCGCAGCAGCACGAGGGCGGCGTGCAGGAGGTAAGCGTCCGCGCGGCGTCGGCCCGCCAGGCCCGGAGGCGCTTGTCTGCCCCGAGCCTCTGGCCACGCTTCCTCTGTCCTCTGCCTTTGAGGGCCAGGATCCGTCCCCGGCCCTCGGGGGCTCCTGAGTTCCCTCCACATTCTCAGTGCGCCCCAGCTTCCGGTCTGTATACCGCGCAGGCGGGTCTCTAACCTCGGGTTGTCAGTTCCGGGCCTCTGGCGAGCCCTCTGTAGTTCCTATCTTAGCAATTCCGGCGACCCGGAGCCCGTCCCTGGAATTGCTCGGAGCCTTAGTTAGCGTCTCCCCTTGGTCCCACACACGCGTCCGGGCCCCAGTTCCCTTTGATGGCCGCGTGCCAGAGCATCCCTCGACGAACTATCCCAGACATGGAGCCACCCTAGCAAGTAGTGTGTGGGGTGGGGGCGGAGATCCGGGTATGTTAGCACGTGGCCTTATGCCTTAAATGGAATTGGAGACCTGTGTTCGCAGTTGTTTTCCACCACTACCATGGGATCTTTCCACGTCTCCATGCCTCAGGTTGCTTGTCTGTGAGATGGTGAGATGGAACTATGAATACCAGTTTTCTTGATTTGTGGGAGAGTAATATCTTGATGTGAAGGGCTTTGAGTTCTGAAGCAAGTATTTGTCATGCGTGATTAACGTGTGTCAGACACTCAGGAGACTGGAACTTGGAGATACAGATGTGAGGAGAAACTGGTCTTTGTCTTCAGAGAACTTTACAAAAGCATAATTCGCGCCGGTGCTGGCGGTTCATGGCTGTAATCCTAGCTACTCAGGAGACAGAGATCAGGAGGATCGCGGTTCAAAGCCAGCCTGGGCAAATAGTTTGCAGGACTCTGTATTGAAAAAACCCTTCACAAAAAAGGGCTGATGGAATAGCTCAAGGTGTAGGCCCTGAGTTCAAACTCCAGTGCTGCCAAAAAAACCCTAATTCGTGCTAAGTGACCAGAACCAATAACACATCCTGTGTGGACGATAAAGACCATTTGATACAGATTGTGTAATTGTTTTTGTTTTTGTTTTTGTTTTTTTTTCCCCTAACAGAAAGTTAGAGGTAGAAAAGTCTGTCAAGATCAAGCCAGAGCTCTTGTTCTATAAAGCAGTTGATGCCAGAAAGTGACAGGGATTTGCCCAAGCTCATTTCACAAGCCCTTCATCCAGACAGGACCATAATCCATTTCTGATTCTGTGAGTCAGAAAACCTCATTGAGCACTCCAGTCTCTAGATTTACTCCTAAGTGCCTGTGGTGATCAAGGACTTCTAAACCTGTGAGGTGGGAGTGTGTTTCTAGTCTGCACATGTGAAAAGGCTCCTTATCCTCATTGACACAAAGTGAACTTAGGAGTGAGTTCTTTTTTTTTTTTTTTTTTTTTTTAATGATAGTAAAGTTTATTAGGAAAGGAATTTAGTATAACAGCATAAAAAAAGTGGGGAGAGACAGAGGGGGAAAAAGGGAGAAATGATTCCTGCTCCCCATGCAGGAAATAGTAGTAAAGACTCAAGGAGTGTTTTTGAGAGAATTGAAAAAGTGTCTAGAAGCAGGGATTGCGACCATTGAGATAAGTTCTAGCATCAGATTTAGAACCACTCACTTGAGCAAATTGAAGGGCTTGTATGTGCTAACCCTAGGCAACCACTGAATTATTTCAGCAAAAATTGAAAACTTGTACTGAGCATGTACCAACTTTGAACTGAGGTTTGAACTGAGGACCTCAGGCTTGTTGGGTCGATGCTCTACCACTTGAGCCACTCTGCAAGCCCAAACATGTACTAACTTACGATGAGGACATCATAAGTTGAAAAATTAGTTTATAAGACCCTATCTCGAAAAAACCCACTTAAAAAAAAAAAAAAAAAGGGGTTGGTGGAGTGGCTCAGTTGGTAGAGTGCTTGCCTAGCAAGGTGAAGCCCTGAGTTCAAACCCCAGTACCTTCAAAAAAAGAAAAAGAAAGAAAGCAAATGTACTAATGCACCTGACCTACTGAACATAACTGAACAACAGTGTGCACTGTAGATAATGGGTTGTTTCCCTCTGTGACAGGGTAGCTGAATGGGAGCTGAGGCTTACGGCCTAGTACTGCAAGAGTATATTATACCATATATTGCTAGGAAAAGATCACAATTTAAAATTCCATTTCTACTGAATGCATGTTGCTTTTATACCATTGTAAAGTCAATAAAAACCATCATAAGTTGGGGACTATCTGTATTTGAGGCCATTATCTGTTGCCCTCATTGCGATGTGGAAAGAATATGCTGAGGTTCTTGGCTCCTACTTGTGAGTTTACCCTCTGTCTTCCCTATGATCTAGATAAGGTTAGGGTAGGCTTCCAGGTGGAAGTGATGGAGGGGGCTGGTTGGGGAGGCTGTCCCCTCAGTTGAGAGCCTCAGAGGTGAAATGGTTAAGTCCCAAGTTTCCTTGTAGACTGAGGAGGTTAACTGGGGTTGAGGGCTTTCATCATGGCACCCCCACAGCTTCAATCTTTTCTGTCTTTCAGCTTGTGAACACATTCTTCAGCTTCCTACGACGCAAAACAGACTTTTTTATTGGAGGAGAAGAGGGGATGGCAGAGAAGGTGAGTGTTGGGGACTCCTATCCCTTGGGCAGGTTTGTCTCTTCAGAAGAAAAGCTCACCTGGCCTTCCTTTGGCATGATAGGAATACAAGAATGGGGCTTGGAAGGGAAGCAAGCTGTCACTGAGCCTCATTCCTTGCAGTGTGCTTTGTCCCCATATTTCCCATGGTTCTTCAGTAGTTCTATCAGAAGTAAATAGTTCTATTAACTACCCTCATTTTACAGATGTGGAAATTGGCACAGGGATGCTTTTCTCCTTATACAAAGTCTTGAGCTGAGTTGTGGGAGAACTGGTATTGAACCTGAGGCTGCTGTGGGCCTACCTTCTATCCCTGATGCCATGCTTCTTCATTCTTTTTTCCCTGGGGTTTTAACTAATTACTTAGCTGGGCAAATGTTAGAATTTGAGGCTAGCAGATGAAATTTTTCTTTTTTTCTGTTGGTACTGGGGTTTGAACTCAGAGCTTTATGCTTTCAAGGCATCTTCTTTTCCAGCCCAACTTAGGTTCTGCAAGCCAAAGTTCAAGTGTTTGGGAGTTGTTTGTGGTACAGGTTCTGAGATCTAGCTTATGATTCCTTAATTTATAATTGCATTTTTGAAGTTTGGTAAATAATAAGGATGGAACTTCACTGATTTTTTTTTTTTTGGCTTATTTATTCATTTATTCATATGTGCATACATCGTTTGGGCCATATCTCCCCTCTGCTTGCCCCCTGATTTTTTTTTAATTGATGATACTGGTGTTTGAACTCAGGGCCTCATGGTTGCTAGTCGGGTGCTCTAACACTTGAACCACCCGACCAGTCCTTTTTCTGTGTGTTGGATATTTTTGAGATAGGATCTTGCTTTTTGCCCAGGCTGGCCTTGAACTGAGATCCTCCTGATCTCTGCCTCCTGAGTAGCTAGGATTACAGGTGTGAGCCACCAGCACTCAGCTTGAACTATTTTTTTATATTCTTAATACTTGCTTTTACTTAAACTTAAGAGACATGGTAATAAGATATTTTACAAACTGCGTTTGGTAGCTTGAGGATTCTAAGGAACCAGGATATGCTGTATAAAGAGTCTTGAAGCTCTGAGGCTACTCCGTCATGGACACAGTAGCTTGGCAGGAGTCCCAGTAGGTGGCTGGCCAAGTTCTCAACAATTTTCTGGCCCTTTTAGTCTTCACTTCAGTAAAATGGAAGGAGTGCCCCCTTCTATCAGCAGTCACAGTCATTTGTTCAATGAACATTTACTGAATATTTAATACTTTGGTTATGGTAGTCCTGTGCCAAATGCGTCCAGATACAGAGGTGAATCTGGTCATGGTCTTTGTTTTTATGGATCTCATAGAGTAACTCCCTTTGCTAAAAACAAAAAACAAAAGGCAGTGAAAAAGTAGTGTACATTAGGGCAGGAGCCCTGGGAACATAAAACAAGGACTATCCTAGGTTCAGGGTTCAGGAAAGACTTCCTGAGGAAGAAGTGATGCTTGAGGTATGAAAGATGAGTTGTAGGCTGGTAGAGTGGGTCAAGTAGTAGAACACCTGCCTAGCAAGCGTGAGGCCCTGAGTTCAAACCCCAATGCTACCAAAAAGAAAGAAAGAAAGATGAGATGTGATAGCTGGGAGAAGAGAAAGAGGTGAACTTTTTTTTCTCCCCTCCCCTCTCCAGAGTACCACTTTTTAGATCAGGCTGCTCTGAAACTCATGATCTTCCTGTTTCAGCCTCCTGAAACAGGAATTACAGATGTGCACCACTGCACTGGCTAGAGAGAGGCAACCTCTCAGCATTAGGAAGTAGTATCTCAGAAGTATACCATGATGACATGTACTATATGGTCGTTGTCTGTTGGCCTCATCTTAGAGCTGTCATGCTCCTGGGCTCTCTGTTCTCTTGGAATCAGCTCTTTCCCAGAAGATCATTCAGATTCTCAGGCAGTTAGAAACCAATCTAGCATTTCTACTTGGTCTCTGGTATTACACAGTAGCTCTTGAGTTGAACAACTGGTAAGCGCAGAGCCGCCAGCTGCATCATTTCCAGTGCAGTGGCTGAGAGCATAGGCTCTAGAGTTAGACATAAATTGAATCCTGGTATTTTTTCCTGCCCCATCCCTCCACTTTGAACTCTGTGGCCTTAGGTGATCCTGAAATTTCTGAGACTAATCTTTCAGATGATCTTTACCTTGGAGGGATGTTCAAAGGATAAGAAACAATATAGATTAAGTGGCTAACATGAAAATAGAGTCCACAGTTCCCCTTCTAAACCCCTTAAGTCCAGATGTGTTTTGGGATTTAGGGTTCTTTGGATTTTAGGATGATGATATGTTGCTACACTGTGTATTACATACAGTGTACCCCAAGTCAGGGGTCAGGAGCATCCTATAATCAAATAACATTGATATTTCTGCAGAGAAAATTCTATCAACCCTCATATCAAGTGGGAGCAGTGAGGTTGTAAATTCCTTCATGCCACAAGCTTACAAAAAATATAAAACGCTTTTAGTTTTTAATAACTTTTAGGACCAGGAATTATGAGCGCCAATTAACCCTTGATGATAAAATCAATATAGTATTGACATAATAGAAAAATGGATCATAGAAGGAAAATAGAGAATCCAGAAATACAGTATAGTATAAATGAGGATTTAATGTAGCCAAGGTGGTAGTTAAGTTTAGTAGGCAATGAATGGCTTACTAGGTCATGTTGCTACAACTGGATATTTATTTGTAAGAAAACAAAATTATAGGGGCTGAAGATGTGGTAGAATGCATGCCTTGCATATGTGAGGTTTTGGGTTCCATCCCTAGAACTGTAAAGAAAAAAGAAAAAGAAGCAAATGTGAACCATTTGTTTTACTCGTATGTCAGAGTAAATAGGAGATCAAGGAAAGTCTTCCTGCATGGGAGGCTTTTGCTTATTTATTTATTTTTAGTGGTACTGGGATTTGAACTCAGGGCCTTGTGCTTGCTGGGAAAGTGCTCTGCAATTTGAACCAAGTCTCCAGCCCTTATTACTTTTAGTTATTTTCAAATAGGGTCTCATGTTTTTTCTGGTCCTCCTGCATATCTGGGATGACAGGCACCAGCCATCATGTCCAGCTTATTGGTTGTGATGGTGTCCTGTTAACTTTTTGTTCAGGCTGGCCTTAAACTGCAATCCTCCCAATCTCCAGCTCCCAAATAGCTTGAATTACAGGCATGAGCCACTGAGCCTGGTCATTATAGTTAATTTAATAGGTAGAAAGTAGGCCTGGCATGGTGACTGTAACCTGTAATCCTACTCAGGAGGCAGAGATGTAGTGTAAGGACTGGAGGATTGCAGTTCAAGGCCAGTTTGGGCAAAGAGTTAGCAAGATCCTATCTTACCTCAGCCAGTGGTTGGTAGCTCACGGCTGTCATCCCAGTTATACCCAGAAGCACAAATAGGAGGATCATGAGCCAGGCTGGCCTGGGCATAAAACGAGACTCTTAAAAAAAAATAGCCAGTTGAGAAAGGGCTGATGCCATGGCTCAAGTGATATGGTGCACTGAGTTCAGCTCTCCAGAACTACCAAAAAAAATGTAGGAACTCATAAATTGACAAGAGGATAACAGAAAAAGAGACAATTACAAAAAGAACAAATCCAAAGAGCAATGTGAAAAGATGTTCAAAAGCCAAGTGTTATAGGACACATCTGGTAATCCCAACACTCAGGAAACTGAGGTAGGAGGGTCATGAGTTAGAGACCAGCCCTATCTCAAAAAAAAAAAAAAAAAAAGTCAAGATTCATTGTACTCAAGGCAGAGTGTCAGCTTACTCCTTGTTACTCAGGAGGCAGAGATTGAAAAAACACAGTTCAAGGCCAGCCCAGGCAAATAGTTTGAGAGACCCTATCTCCAAAATAACCAGAGCAAAATGGACTGGAGGTGTGGCTCAAGTGATAGAGCTCCTGCTTTGCAAGCATGAAGTCCTGGGTTCAAACCGTAGTTCCATCAAGAAAGACAAAAAGTATGGACAGACCTGAATGGATGAACTGAATATGATAGATACATGCATACAGCTGAACATTCTGCTTTGAAAGAGAAGAAAGTCTTGTTACATGTATGGAATAACTTATTCTCTGAGGATGGGACTCCAAATGAAACGAACTAGTCAAAGTGACAGATACTGTATTCCACTTACATGAGCCTGGAGTAGTCAGATTCATAGAGAATGGTGGTTGCCAGCAGCTGGCGGGGAGGGAACGGGAAATACAGTGTAAAGTTTTCAGTTTTGCTGGAGTTCTGGGGTCTGTTTCAAAATGATGTGAATATACTTAACACTCTTAAAGTATACACTTAACGATTAAGATGGTAAATTTTGTATGTTGTTTTATCACAATTTAAAAAATTCTAGTCATATTTTTATTTTACCAGTTTTATATTTACTTATATGTATATACATTGTTTGTGCCACCCCTCTCTTACCCCCCAATTCCAGTCATATTTTTAGATTAGTAAATGGTTTGTGGATGTTAATCAGCTTTTTTTTCCTCTTTTGTGGCACTGGGGATCCAGTCCAGGGTCTTGCACATACTAGCACTCTACAGCTGAGCCATCCCTAGCTATAGAAAAGTAATTCTTTAAATATTATCAAATATCCACTTAGGGTTCTGATTTCCCTCAGTGCTTATTTTTTTTTTTAAGTGTACACTTGAGTAGCGTTAAGTATAAATGTTGTGAAATACATCTCAGAATTTTTCACTTTACAGAACTGAAACTACACCCATGAAACAACTCCTTTGTCTGCCCCCACAGCCCCAGGAAGCCACTATTCTACTTTGATTGTGATTGACTGCCTTAGATACTTCATTTAAATGAAATTACGTATTTGTCCTTTGTGTGTGTGGCTTATTTGTTTTGGGTGGTACTGGGATTTGAACTTCAGGGCTTTGGACTTGTAGGCAGATGCTCTGTTGATGGATCCATACCTCTAGCCCTGTCCCTTTTGTGACTTCTTTATTTCACTTAGTGTACTTAAAGGTTCATGTTACAGCA